GTTTTGGCGTCAGGGGGTAGGTTGAATGTCTGACTCTTCTCTTTCTTCGTACCTTTTTTGTCGGTTGTCAACAGATCGGTTAATGGCTGTAATACTTCAGCACAATGTGGTAAGAAGCGGCGATAAAAATTACACATACCGAGGAAGCGTCGTAATGACTTCACCGAGGTTGGTTCGGGATAATTGGTAATAGCTTCAACCTTTTCTGGGAGTGGTTTGATGCCTTGAGAGTCAGTGTAATGTCCTAAAAACTCTAAGGCTGGGACGGCGAATATACATTTAGAAGGATTGATAACCACACCATGTTTCTTAAAACGTTCAAAGAGGATCTGAATATGCTGGGCGTGTTCTTCTATTGATGAGCTTGCGATCAAAACGTCGTCTATGTAGGCGAATACGAAGTCTAAACCTCTTGTGACATCATCCATGAATCGTTGGAATGTCTGGGCGGCATTTTTCAATCCGAATGGCATTCTTAGAAACTCAAACAGGCCAAAGGGTGTGATGATAGCTGTTTTCTCGATATCTTCTGGTGCCATCGGAATTTGGTGATATGCTCGCACCAGGTCGAGCTTCGAAAAAATGCATTTACCGTGTAGGTTTAATGAAAAATCGTGTATATGCGGAATTGGGTACTTGTCGGGAATGGTTTGATTGTTTAATCGTCGATAGTCACCACACGGACGCCAATCTTGGTCCTTCTTTGGTACCATGTGTAACGGCGAGGCCCAGGGGCTGTTGGATGGTCTGATAATACCAAGTTGCATCATATGTTCGAATTCTCTTTTAGCTACTTGCAACTTGCTTGGTGGTAGTCTCCTCGCCCTGGCGCTAATAGGTGGGCCGGTGGTAGTGATATGGTGTTGCACCAGCTGTGGGTTACCTTCCTTTTGGTAATCTGATCTCGTAATGCACTGGTATTCTGTTAGAATGTCGTTGAAGATGTTGTTCACAGGTTTCATTATTCGAACACCATGGATCTCGTTGTCGTTGGAGAGTGTACCATTTACCTGTAAACGTGTGTTTACGTCGATTAATCTCTTGTTGGTCATATCAACTAACAGGTTGTACGCACTAAGAAAATCGGCCCCGAGGATGGGTCGTTTGACTTGAGCAACTATGAATACCCATGTGAATCTTCTGCGGAGCCCGAGATCTAATATAAGAGATTGTTCTCTGTAAGTTTTGATAACTGATTCGTTAGCCGCTACCAAGGACAATTTAGTGCTTGTCGTATGTTGTCTGCGTGAGAGATGGAGTGGGATGATGCTGATTTCTGCTCCCGTATCGACTAAAAAGTCTGAGCCAGAAATACGATCCCTGATGTGGAAGAGGCGGCTGACATGTTGGCCAGTAACAGCTGCCGCTATTACTGTCTGGCCACTTCGTTTCCCTGATGGTCTGGCTTGCTTGTCGTGAAGTTGCACGGTTTTGTGCAACGACGTGCTTTCCCACCATAATTCGAATGATACCAACAAATTCCGGCTGCCCGCTTAGGTGACCTAAGACGATGTCTGGATAATGATCTCCTTCTGGACGTAGATCTGGGGCATCGAGAATGGATGGTGGCAATAGTCGCCTGCAGTGATGCTAGCTGCCGTGTTAAGTGTGCCATTTGTTGCTGAATGTCAAGAGTAGGGTTCATAGCATCTCTACTAGCGGGTTGTACTGCGCAAATTCCCCGACTATCGGGATATATTTCTATAATCTTATCGGCCATGTCTGCTAAATCATCAAGACTGACAGAGGCTCCTGATACGCTGAGAATTTGTCTGACGCTATAAGGTAACCTTTGTGACCACATCTGCTTAAGTAATGCTTCGTCTAACTTGTATGAACCTGCTAGTTGTCTCATGTGTCTAAGCAACTGTGAGGGTCTTTTGTCCCCTAACTCGCATGCGGTGAGTAGTTGCTGTAAGCGTTTTTCATCAGACTGCGAAGTACGGTGGATTACTGCGGCTTTTATTTTGTCATAGGGGTCCGTTTCTGGTACGTTATCTATCAGGTCTCCGACTTCTGCTGCCACTTCTATGGGTAATGCTCCAACGATGTATGCATATTTTGTCGCTTGCGAGCGTATACCTCTCGACAAAAATAATGCCTCAACCTGTGCAAACCAGATCCTGGGATTATTAACACCGTACGTTGGTAATCTTAGTTCCGAAATAGCGTTGATTGAGTTTAAAACATTATCCTCTGATTGTGGAGAGTTTAGAAGGTTGGTCGGTGAACTATCAATATCAATAAGTTTACCCGGAGAGTTCATAATGAGAAAAACAAAAAATGGTGTCGTACCAATTAATACTAATAAAAAATTATGTAGATATATATAGTAAATGTCTATAAAAAAATAATCGAGGCTCACCAAAGACTTTAATTTCCGACTAGTTATCACGTAATTTATTCGTCAATCGAAATACGACTTATTCACTCTTACCCGTTGCCCCACAATCACGACTTGACAGCTACATCAAAAGGTACAACCGTCTTTTCGAAAATCGACTTGGTTAAAGCCTATAACCGAATCCCCATGGCCACTTGACGACATTCTTAAAACCACTACCATTACTCCCTTCGGTGTCTACGAAACTTCGCGCAAGCCTTTCGGCCTAAGAAATGCTGCTCAGACCTTCCAAAGATTCATGGATGACGTTTCCCGAAGTCTCAACTTCGTACATGCGTATGCTGATGACTGCTTGATTGCGATTCGGGACAGAGAATCTGATTTCCAGCATCTAAACCTTGTTTTTGAACGACTACAAAAGCACGGTATTACTGTAAACATTCGGAAATGCCAAATCGGATCTGACTCCTTAGATTTCCTCGGACACACTATTGTTGCTCAAGGCATCCGACCTCTGTGAAGCAAAGTGGAGGCTATTCTGGACTACCCAGAACCGACCACAATTAGGCAATTACTCGCGTTTAACGGCATTGTAAATTTCTATAGACGGTTCATACCAAACTTCGTTTCCCTTGTGAAACCATTAACCGACCAACTTCGTGGATATTTGAAATCCATCAATTTGGACGATAATGGTCGAAAAGTATTCTCCACAATTAAGGAACTTATCGCAAAAGCAACCATGCTTGCACATCAGGACGCCCAAGCATCCATTAGTATCACAGTACACTCATCCGACGTATAAATCACGTGATAATTATTCGGGCCTAAAGTCGTAGTAATCATCAAACCAAGTTGGGTTTAAGACTATCAGTTTGTCCAATGGAAAGAGTAGATAACCATTTAGTGAGTTTGCATGCCTCTATGGAAATAATGAGTCATGTCTCTTGTTTGTTTTCGAAACGTTCTATTCATAAATAGTAGGTCTCCCCAGGTACCTTATAACTCATTGAGGAACGTCAGTTTAATCCGGTAAACCGCAACTTTTTGTAATAAAAGTAGGTTTGAATAAAGTCAAAAGTACTGCCTCAGTCGTTGTTTTGGCTATATTTATATTCGTCAAGGGAATAAGTTGCATGAAGCATAAATTATTAGGTACATAAACTTTAGAAATTTTGCATAAAAACGGAGAGACGTGTTCCTCGGAGAGTTCTAATGATTTGGAAACAGAAGCTGCATTTGGTAACTGCTGAAAGATAGTCTGAACATAACTTATCAAGGAACAGTCCAGTTGGTCTGCTGCTACGGTAACATCGACCAGTTTGTTCTGATTTTATAGACAGCGACGACTGATGCACACAACAAATTGTAGCGGTGGACGGTATTTGACGTGGTAAGGTGGTAAGAAAGACAGATGTATAGGACGGTCACCTGTACGTCCAAAGTGACTTCCCGGTTGAGTTCTGTGGTATAATGCAACTCTCACTGGTTTGACATGTTATTAGATATTAGCTCAGTATAGAAGCCAATGATAATCCTACTGTATTTTTATTTTGTATTCTTCATAAAAACCTAATGAAATCACCAAAATGAAGGAATTCTTCCTATTTATGTTCTTAGTTGAAATTTACCTCCTGTTTTATGTTACTCTCGTTCACTTATTTCTCTTGGTTCGTCAATTTTCGATCATACTCCCTCCTCATTCCACACTTTCATTTCCTTATTTGTGTGACATATATTTATTTTGGGACCTATATGTACCAGTATTTATGTATTATAAATACATTCAAATAAATGGTGAACTCATTGTATTTGAAGATAAAGAACTATTTATGAAAACTGACCTCTTCATCCAATGACAGACTAATGGACCCATCCTCAAATAACTCTTTTTGCAACACTGTTCACGTTTCAACCCTATATTTCAAGTGTGATGTCTAGTGAGATCTGTGAAACTATTTTAATGTAATCAAAATCCTTGTGTAATTTTTCAGTATAAACCTAAACGTATATGTTATTGTTTAAAAACTATGCAGAAGTTGTTTTAGACTTTTTTCCGGTTAGATTAAATTAACCCCTTGAAGAAAGTAAAATGAATCTAGCTGTAAGATGATTAAACTTTTAGTAATCGAAATTCTACGAACTTACATTATATAATTACAGTCGTGTTAACACCAAAGTCTGCCAGCTCATACTCAACATTAAACGACAACATAAAGACGCTAATTAAAAAATATGAGTAACATCATTCAACTTCGCTGGATGTAATGGATAAACACGTTATCTGTTTTTCTTTGTTCAGGCAAAGTTCTATACAGCCTAACTAGGAGATTCATTATATCCTTGAAATGCATTATGTTAATAAAACAAACATCAAACTAGTCTCATTTTTAATTCATTATTATTAAACTGCTTATCACATTAATAATATCCTTTTTAAAAAATAGTGGATTATAGTGTAATGAAATGTAAAAGTAGTCAACCCCATCTTAAGAGTAATGTAGGAACGACTAAGTGAAATAGCAGTAATAGAATGGGACTTATAAAAAGTGAGAGAATAAAAATTTAAAAGTAAGTAGCTTTACATGCAATAGCTACTGAGAAAATCATCATTGTTGGAATAAACTGATAGAATAAACTGGTTCTGTGAAGTGAGTCACATAAAGTTGAAATATTCATATCTTTCATAAGCCAGTGTTTCTTCAGTATTATCATGTATATTTAAATGACCAAGTGATGACAAATCTCCATTCTTTTTTACTTGAATATACCAATCAACAAAATCTGCTCCCAACTTGTTCACAAGTATTTTGTCATCCATAAGACTATGTAGAGCCTGTTGAATTGTATTGGGAAGTACTTTACAGACACCAATTTGACCATTTGCTAGTTTCAAACCTGAAGGTGGAGGGTGTATCTGACGTTCCAAGCCATCTAGTCCAGCTGCTATTGTGGCAGCAAGCACATGGTAAGAACAAGATGCGGACGATGGTATACGATTTTCTATGTATGTCTGTCTCTCATTAAAGTTTTTTACACGAATTGATACATACCTATCATGAAAATCCCAATTCACACAGGAGGGAGCAAGATGTTTATGCAGTCTTCTATAGCAGTTTACTGTTGGACAAGAAATAGCTAACATAGCTGGTAAATGTTCCAAGATCCCTCCAATCCAGTGACGAGCTAGAGTAGATAATCGATCAGGATCTGACGTGGCAAAAAATTTGAACTTTAGTTAAAATTACATTATTCATGTTCAGTTCATATTATACGCATAAAAATTTAAATAACATTAAAACATCTTATATATATGGAGAGAGAGAAAGTTGATAAATTCGTTCCAGTGCATGCATTTTTCATGTGCTATCTGGTTTTGTTATCCTACTATTTTAGGGTGAAATATATTTCTCAGATGTATAGTGAAACGGTATAATAATCTGTTCTAAAGTAGATAATAAATATTTAAGTATCAAAGTTAACACAAAAGGATTTTGCAAACTACAAGATAAGTAGAAGAAAAACTCAGTTCGGATGAGATATCTTTGCACATTACATAATAATAAGTTTGAATAGTTAAAAGCACGACATATGTTGACAAACAGTTTTGTTTGTCAAATTAACTACACCTGTTTTGATCAAAATCCTCTATATATTCCAGAAATCTGTCGTCATCTGAAAGGAGGATATTTCGAGAAAGATATTCGTTATACCAGATAAATATTTAGTGGCGGAGATTTTGAGTAAAATGAAATATTTGCAAAATCAATCGATCGAGACTTACCTTTATCATCGTAAAATGCATTACGATTATTATCAGAGTACCACAGAGAATGGTTGTAATGACACCCACTAGAGCTGGAATCCAGTAATGGTGTAGTCATAAACGAAATTTCCATCCCATGTTTAGTTCCAATTTCTTTTACAGCCTGTTTCAATATAAAATAATTATCTGCAGCCGACAACCCCCATGTTGGTATTAACGGACATTCTAACTGTCCTTCGCCATCTTCATTACTGTAATCTTGTATATCGATCCCTGCTAGCTGCATATTGTAATCAATATCCGCAAAATAGTTTTCATAAACGGACAGTAAACTTGTTCTGTACATGTCTCTAAAATTTGTCCAAGGGATTGGTTTTTTAAGGTCAATAAATTGGGTAACGTCGTTCGACTTTGGTTCTAAACACGATGACTCATAGCTTCCCTTTACAAAAGCCCTAAACTCCGGTTCAAAAGCTGAATATAGCCGTAGATTATATTTATCCTCCAGCTCTTTGATAAGCCTTTGAGCAACAAATCTTGGATAGGCATACATTGGCTGGTTATTAGGCCAGTATATATCGCACAAAACGGAACAAAATGAATATTTACCATCTTCTCCGTTCAAAAACATGTTATTGTCCTTTTGTGTGTAAGGATAATTCTTTTGTGAAATCCAATGACACGGATGCAGAGTCGAGAAATCTGGCTTCAAAACACTGTTAATATGTTTCCTTTCAACCACTTCTGGGATGCTGATCATCTAAATGTGAAGACAGCTCAAATTTATTGTGACTGATAATTTTTCGCAAATAGAAAACAAAATGAAGTACACTTTTATTGAAATAATGAATTATAAAATTTGCAGATGAAGTAAATTATAAAACTGAAACAAGAAAATACGAACTTCTAAAAATCTACTGTGTATTGAGAATTAATTCATAACTGTGGATCACATATCTCTAAAATGCTGCTTAAACCATCATTTCAATTTAATAGAAGTGTGGTGTGTGTTACTTACACGGACAGTTATAAGTAGAATGTATCAAGGATTGAAAGTATGATTCTCACTGACAGAAGAGAAAAATAACAAAAAAATTTAATCGGAGTGGCAATAGGGATAAAAGAACGACGGAATTTGTGAAAAACAATCCAAGGAAAATGTGCAAATGATGTATTCAATGTGTTGTTTTCATATTTTGCAAATGCTGGGTTCATAGTGAAATTACTTCAGTTAGTAAATAGGATGTAACAAAGTTATAAATTGTCGACAAATAGATCAGTTGAGAGGAATTCTAGCATGATTAAGTAGGCTTTTAATCGGTGCAGATAGAATTTGATAACGATATTACATTTAATTAGCTTAATTGCTTGTGTAGTTTCCATTGAAACCGTAAGTGTTCGCAAAAGCTGACTGATAATTTGTTGAAAATTAAAAGTTTTGGTTGACTTTGTTTACTGTCCTGAAGCACCACTAGGCCTTACCATCATTATTACTTTGATTAATGAAGTATATCTTTTGTATGAATGATACACATAGTAAATCCCTATTCAGTAGTCTGTTGTGACCTATCAGTCACAACTCATCACACTTATCCAAATAAAAAACTGGAATAATAAGAATCGATGACTATGATGCTGTACAGAACTAAACAGATGGGATATAACTGCTATTATGAACGAGATAAAACTGCTTTGTTAAATCGCATAACAATTTGTTTAAAACGAAACAAAATATTTTCTCACTAAACTTTCTGATCATAACCGATTGAATGTATCCTTGGATTCTATTTGCCTGCCCCTTCATTTAAGCCAATAACAGTGTTATCCTTTAGGATAAGGAAAATTATGTTTATATTCTTAATTTCTACTGTATTTCAAGGAAGCTCTTATGAAAAACGGAAACAATATTGCCACCTGAGGCTCTATTTTCAGGAAAGTCATTATCACGGTCGTTCAGAAACTGGTTTTACAAGTGACAATATATTCTAAATATAGCCATATAATAACCAAATTGTTCAGTAAGTGGTTATTTTTCTTGAATAAAAACTTTTGACTGTAAAGAATATGGATCTGAAGTATATTGAGTTTTCAAGTGAGTATTCTACCATAGACGTTTGAACCTAAGCGAAATATTTAAAAACAACAATTTTTTTAGTTTTTCCCATCAAATAATGATTAAGCAGCCAAGAGCTTAAATTGTATATACATAAGATGCATGTATTTTTAAGAGAAATCGTGATTTATCTTCACTTACTTCAAATCTTGGTCCGAATGCTATAGACCCTGAATACATTTCCACCTGGCCCATTGCCAACTTCTTAGCAAAGCGGGTAGGAAGCAACTTACTCAGATGGATTCCATTTATATCAGGAAGACTGAGTCTAATGAAGTCATACTTCTCGACATCTTTAATGAATCCTTTCACTTCATCTGATAAATCCACTTCATTTTCTGATTTCAAAACAATTTTGCCAAACTCTGATTTTATCTAATAATAAGGAAAGTAAAATGTAATGTTTTCACGCTAATCGATTCAACCGTATGGTAAAATGATGAATATTAAGTGATCTTAGATATCATCCTAGTATTGTGCTGTATTGTGCTGTGCGGCACTTTCAACACTCTATTGAACGCCGTGAGTCCACTCTTTTCGGCGATCACAGACCTCTTACTCCCGCTTTAGGCTCAGCTTCAGACAAGTACTCACCTCAAGAGTCTTGAAAACTGAACTACATTTCGCAGTTTACTTCATATATACAACACATTTCTAGAGCGAACAATGTAATTGCAAACCTCTTGTCTCGTAAAACTTTTTTGGTAAATTTTCCAAAGAACTGACCATCTTAAACTCGCGCAGCTTCAAAAAAAGATACTGATCTTCAGCACGAGTTATCCTCAACAACCCTAAAATCGCACACTAAGCGAATGGGAACAGGTGTGGAGATATGACTGACAAGCTTATTTTGTAAATAGTTTTTAATATTATTTGTATTTGTTTGTCATGCTATGCCACATCACCGCTATTTTTACGCAATAACACACTGTATATTATTAACGTACATGTCATACGCATCTCCACATTGTTAATTGGTTATTATTGTAAATATTATTTTCTTTTTTGGTATAAAATTTTTCTTATTGTTATTGTAACCAGTGTTACCTCCGGACACTCTGGGGGGAGCTATGTGGAGATATGACTGACAAGCTTATTTTGTAAATAGTTTTCAATATTATTTGTATTTGTTTGTCAATTTTTCACTGTATGTACATTCATCATTAAATGACCGTACGTGTTGTTTTAGTCAATGACCTTGAACACACTTTCCGTTGAGCTACTACATAGCGTGACATATTCTTTTGGTGGTGTTTTGTTCTCTGAGCTGGATGGTTTGGTCGTGGAGCTTTCATCGTTCTTCTGAACGACATCATCAGCACAAACTTCAGATAGAAGTGAAGTGTTCGAATTTCTCCATATGTGTTTCACAGCTTGTTCTGTGCACCTCGATGTTGATTGGTTCTTGTTGACCTTAAATTTATCATTGTTTACTTCTTTGTTTTGGTTGTGTCTCCCATTGGTTTGATTTTTGTTCCCATATTTATGCATGATTTTCCTGATTGGTTGATAAATTGGATTGATCTCAATATGTTTGTTGATTGCTGATTGACCTGAGTGCCAAGCTTCTAAAAATTCTCTGGTGTTTTTGGAGTTTCCTCTGTCTAAGATTTCTACATTTTCCCAATCGAATGAATGTCCGTAGTTATCCACGTGTATTGATATAAGTGAAGAGATATCATGGCGTTTGACTGCTAATTGATGTTCATGTAGGCGTAGGTGGAGGGGGCGTCCGCTTTGTCCGATGTAGTGTTTGTCGCAGTTGGTACAATTTATTTTGTAGATGATGTTTGATTTGTTTTCCTTTGTTATTTCATCTTTTGGTTTGCATAGGATTGATTGTAATGATTTTGTCGGTTTGTGTGCCACACCTATCCCGAAGGTTTTCAGCAGTCTCATTGTGGTTTCTAATATTCCTTGTATGTACGGTAGGGTGATCCTTTTGTTGATTTTTGTGCTTGATTTGGGTTCTGATGCTGTGTGCCGTTGGTGCTTTTTGATGAAGTTGATTGGGTAGCCGTTCTTTTGAAATATGTCCTTCAGGTATTTCTCTTCATTTTTTCGTGTTGCCAGTGTGTTGCAGTGTGTCCTCGCCCTCTTGAACAATGTGTGTACGCAGTTGATTTTGTGAGCTCTTGGGTTGTTGCTGTTGTAATTGAGGATTTGATCTGTATGGGTCGGTTTCCTATATACTTGAGTTTCCAGTTTTCCTGTATCGGTTCTAGTGATCAAGAATGCTATTTGGTTGTTTGACTCCTGTTCCATTGTAAACTTGATGTCGTTGAAAACGTTGTTGATCAGTTTGTATGTGTTTTCCAGTTCATCCTTTTTGACGATGACAAAGGTGTCGTCTACGTAGCGAATCCAAATTTTTGGCTTGATCACTGGTAATCTCGTGGCTTCTAGTCTTTGCATCACTGCTTCTGCGATCAGTCCTGATATTGGTGATCCCATTGGTGTCCCTTTTGTTTGTTCGTAGATTTTGTTGTTGAATTGAAAATATGTTGTTAGGCATAAATCGATGAGTTCCAGTATACTTTTAATTTGAAGCGTCGTGTATTTGGTGAGATTTGTGTCGTTGTTGAGTAGCAGGGATATAGTTTCTTTTGCTAGCTGTGGTTCAATTGAGGTGAACAGTGCTGTTACGTCGAAGGATATCATGAGTTCGTCGTTGTTAATTTGAATATTCTTGCTGATTAACAAATACATTACTACTCACACATTCCTCGTTCTATTTTCATTTGTGATTGAGTTAACGGAAGTCTAAATCAAATACTAACTACATTTATAGACTATAATCGGAATATATCACATCCTACGTTGGACTATATCGCTAGAGAGTTCGCCAACCTGCTCAGAGTCATCAAGCATTTATAATTGTGGATTTACATTACTGGACCTAATCAGAACACGCAACGTTTGGGCAATTTAAGTAACGTCCTTAATTTTTATTGTATTTGTAACAATTAATTGTATATATTAATATTACTATTCATTTTTAATAACTTTGTTTATACGTTTCGCGTTCATATCTGTTTGGTCCACCACACAGGTAAGGAAACCTTAATGTTCGACACATCTACAGGTAAAGATCGTCCAATTGTGCCGAAGCATTACCAACGCAACGCCTCCAATACGTTGCACAAACTGTCTAATCTACGTGTTCGTGGAACCATCAGGCTCATAGCAGAACGGTTTTTCTGGCCTGGTATGATGAAAGACGTGGGGGAGTTAGCACGCTTCTGTGTAAGCTGCCAGAAACCTAAGGTGATCAGACATAATAAATGTCCCTTAGGTTTTTTTTAAGGCTCCCTATGCTCGCTTTGACCATTTTTATCTGGATTTGGTAGGACCTTTACCAGATTCATGTGGATACTCTTGTCTTTTAGCCTGCGTAGACTGTTTCCCTCGATAGCCAGAAGCAATACTTATCGAGGACATTGCTGCTGAAACAGTGGCCCGCACCTTCCTCGAACTATGGGTACCGAACTTTGGTTGCCTCTCAACTATCACTGCGGACCGTGGACGCCAGTTCGAATCTGAACTTTTCCGTTGTCTGATCACACTATTATGAATCACCTGCTTCCGAACGACCGCCTACCACCCGCAAGTAAATAATTTGGTAGGATGCTTTTACTATCATCTGAAAACGTTTCACAGTGGACCGACGCTCCTCCACTCGTCTTACCAGGTATTCGCAATGCAGTGGGAACTGGCATTGGATACAGTGCAGCTCAACTCGTTTATTTAACGACACCCTGACTTCCAGGAGAATTCGTGGATCCTTCGTCTTCTTCAATGAATATGGATCTAACCTCCTACACGAGCAAGCTTATAAACGCAATGCGTTCGGTTAAACCTGTTCCCACTCGACCGCAGTCAACTGATGTTTTCTTTCAACCTGCCGTGCGATAGAGTACACACGTATTTGTACGTCGCAACGAAATTCGACGACCTCTGAAAACAACATACGAAGTTCTTCAGCGTGAACCTAAGTACCATGTGATCGATAAAAACGGAACGAACGATAGCATCAGGTCGATCGCATCAAAACCGCGTATTTAGAAGCTAACTTTCTTTATGTCGGTTTTCCTTCGGTAAAACCGAAAGAATATTAAATATTCACATTTTGAAAATTAGAATAACACATGTAAGCAAACGATTGTTTTCAAATAGAACATCATCAGGCTTTACTCTGATGTATATGAATATTTATACGAAAATGTTAGACCAATCAAGGTAATTTAGGTCAATAATCACGATGAAATAGAATAAGTCACCACACATACTGGGCAAAAGTAAAAGCTAATAGTAGGAAGACAGGTGTACCGATAGTAGTAAGAATAATAAAATACGATAACAAAAGTCTTACCAATAGTTAAGCACTGGAAATAGAAGGCCAAAAGTTGGTAAATAGACTCAAACTAGTCATCGCAAAACATTAAAACCATTACGCAATATGAAGTGTGCAAATAATTATATAGTAAAGGATACAAAGTTAAAGAGGCGAAAAATTACAAACAAATACCGGGTGTGAAAATAATGGTAACGATAACAAAAATAGAACAAAAAAGTCGTTTGGTAAGTTATAACCGGCCATGAAAGGGATAGGGGGTCACGAATTTTTTCTGTATACATAAATTGGGGTTGAATGTACGAATTCCTATGGCTTCGTCTACATTTAGGAGACATGTGTTATGGATGCAGAATAATGTGCCAATCATTATCATGTTAAGTCTAATGATGTCCTTGTACGTTAAATGGACATTTCCTATTGGCCATTATTTATTTCATTCGTTAAATATTGTACAAATGTTGTTTTCTATTTTTATGGTACGATGTGGTCTGTTTGGTTAGTATATAAATGGAGTATGTCTGAAATACAACGATTCATATCTCAGAGGTTGTGACTTGTGTTCTGGACTCAACTGGCTGGGATAGACAGGGAGGCGGGACCAATCGGAACTCTAGGCCGTTCGTACGTGTTTTACGTGTCACCGAATCGATCGATAAGTACGCTGCTCTCTAATCTTTCAGTCAGGGACTCAACAATTGGCACAGGGTAAAAATCGACCCAGGGTAAAGTCACAACAACATGAACGAACTCCGTTGAGAAATGACGGAGGTATACGATAGATCACTCGAAATGTTTCCGATTTATCTGCATTATGGCCTCTATCGATAAGATGTGCCAA